GGGGGAGGGGGGGGGTTGTGTTCCGGGTGGGAGGTCACCTTGCTCTCTGACGGTGGGCTCCTCCTCAAGCTGACCCACTGGGGCAGGCCAGGGCAAATCCGACAACTCCCTCATTTCTAATAGAGGGGAGGGGAGCGGGGAGGAGGTGAAAGAAAAAGGGAGCAACACAGTGAGAAAACAGCAGATGGGTTTGGAACAAAGTTAACTAAAGGAAGATGTGTGAGAAGAAATGGTGATGATTAAGAAGTGAGACTGAAATCAGGTGCAAGATTTTTTAATTCAAGGACGAGAGAGAGTAAGCGAGAAGTGAGATGTGGAAGAGGTGCAAGAAAAAGGGAAGCCCTGCTGAGAGTGGGTGGGGTGAGGCAGCATGTGTGTGCAGATGACAGGGATGTGGTGTCATGAAATGTAGTTAACTACACCTCCTGTCACAAAGAGAAGTAAAATATTCTACCTCCTGTCTCCTTGCTTCATCACACTTAAAAATACAGTCTCAGAGTTTCTGACCCTATATTTACAGTAATTTATCACGTGCGATAAGACTGCAGACAGCAAAGGAGATGAAACAGAGAGGACAGGAGAAGTCAGAAGCTGCATTATTTATAGTTATCTGAATGAATCCACTTTAAGAAGTCGTCTACTAGCAGGAGCAATGAAAACAAAATGTGACTTCTTGTGCACTCCAACCCACAGTGTGACAGAGGAACTGAAGAGTGTGGGGGCAGAACAATGCTCCATTCACTGTCCTACCTACCGGAGGAGAGCGGCAGAAGGTGCACTGTGAGAAAGAACTGAAAATAGCTCATTATCTACCATGGCAGGCGACCATCTACTGTAACAGTCTTAGCTGCAGCCTTACGCACACACACATACATTATGTGATTTGCCAGTTTCACACCGTACATTCAGCTCCTGCTCACAGCGAAAACGGATTACAAAACAAATAAAAGGAAAAGAGGGGTGATGTCTTAATGAGGCGACAAATTCAAAGACCCCCAAGGCCCACGACATCAAAGGCCATTTGAATGGGCGTTTGGAGAGAGACCCGGGCTGTACATACATGCCTCTCACCCTCCCTTGTTAATTATTGAGCAGGCAGACACACTCCGCCACTTTCTCTGGCTCTCTGTGAATTATTGATGCATGGCGCAGTACAATGGCCCCATCTGGAGCGGTCCGAACCTCTGCTGAAGCCAGGATTAAAGTGTGGCCTGGCACCCCTCAATGGGAGACATGCACGCAAACACGCAGGTCCACAATGGCACAAACACACACACACACACACACACACACTTGACTCCCCGAAACACCACACTCTGCTGCCTGTCCGCTCACCACCACCACCACCTCTCATTTCACACCTCTAATTCTCAAGCAAAACTGAGAGAGACGCATGGAAAAAGAGAGGGGTGTAAATGAGAAGCACACACAAGCAAGTGAAGGGTAACGAGAAAGGAGAGAGAGAGAGAGAGAG